GAATGCCCGCTCCTTCTAGCCATGAAAATGACTCGGCTGTTCAGCCTGCTCTCCGAGGGCAGCGTTACTCGGTCATGCCTGTCAACGATCCGACCAATCGATATCGCGCGCATCGATCGGCACGCCGTGCCGCGCCGAGCCGAGCCACGCCAAGCCGTTCCCAATTAGGATGCACGCGCTTCGCATTTTTCAGCGGGCGTTTCATATAAAATAAATGTGCTAACTAACCAATTACAGCGAAGCGGCCCCTGGAAGACGACCGGTTGCATCGCCGGCGCTCATTAGTGTCACGCTTAAGTGCCGATTGCACCTTCGTCGCGCGGCGCGGCGCGGCCCGGCACGACGGCAGCTGCGATGATGCATCGCGATTCTGCGAGCGATCTCGAGAAAGTCAATACCGCACATCGAAATTCCATTACTCTGTAAAATTCCAAGATGACGTGTCGCCGCTGACCGATCAAACGCGCAATCTTTCAAAGAAAGTGCAATCATTGTGAACAGTGTGTCTTTATCTGTAAATTAAAAAGAATTAAATTTTTTAAACCATACGTTATTTAAATACGTATCTGACGATACGTTATCTTATTCCCTGTTTTTACACGACTGTTGAAATATAACTTTGGTTTTAATGCTGCCCTTAAACGACAGTGCCGTACTCTTCGTACGGCAGAAGCTTTCTCGAGACACGAACTTTCAATTTAAGTTCCTGCGCGACGTTCTGGTTTCCGCCGCGGCGACGCAAAGGACATTCGCCGAAGAATCCGCGGCCGCGAGCGAGCGCGCGAAATAAACGCGCCCGATTACGATTCCCGCGGCCGACCTTGCGAACCCATAAAAGTGCATAATCGCGCGCCTCGCATTAAGCAGCAGCGTGGCAGCGTTTCCCTTGATCTTGGCTCTCGCGCGATTACGCGAGGGGAGCTTTGTTTTCTCCCGCACGCCGCGGAGCCACACCCTGGCTTGACCGCGCATACGCAGGCATTTATATGCATACCCACACGCATATTCATACCGGTAATAATAATTGTTCGCGCACTTGCGTCGAAAATGGCGGCCTTGTCCTTGCGAGGCCGCGCAAGGCCGCGCTCCTCGGACGCATCGCCGCCGTGCCGTGGGAAGATCGCGCCGCGGCGATCTCCTCGCCGATGGACCCTCCGGCTCGCCTTGACTGATCCTCTCCATAGATTAGTACGCGTCTCTCGCGTATGTACGCCGCTCTAACTAAACGCGTCCGCGGTAAATATAGAATTAAATGGACCAGCGCGCGTCGCCACCGACGGTATTAATAGCGGTATGTGAGTAATTTTATCCGTCAGGAACGAGTTTGATAATGTTGCCTGCGAAGGATGAAGAAAATTGTAACATGCTCGTCTCGAGTTTGCGTTAATGTGTGATAAGAATGATTTATTGATTATATCATGCGAATATCACATGTCACCAAAGTCTTATAGAATGTAACATGGAATTTATCATTATAAATATATATTGAGATTGGTTGACACATTACATTTATATGCACTGTACAGAGAATGGTCGGCAGATGAGTCGGATTAAGAGTGAAAAAACTCGCGCTACGAGGAAAGTGTGATGATTGCGCGGAAAAGCAATCGTTTCTTGACGACTTGAAGAGTTAGTCAAGTAAATCGAAATGAGTGTGACAGTGAATCAGCAAATCCTCAGTTTAAAATCTGATTCATCTTTTAATTCCATTCAGTGGTCATTGCAATACGTTGCCATTTTGTGATAACGCTTTTAGTATAAATATATATATTTATATCTCTTTGCGTTGTTACAGAAAAGATCGCGAGCAGCACGAAACAATAATAAAATTATCTTTATAGAAACACATTGAGGTACAATTTATTTGAAACAGAATCAAAAATTGAGAACTGCGAGAGGCGATTTCGATCGAAAAGGAACAACTGAATTTAATTTTAACATTGAATTCGAAGTCAGCATGTCGAAAAAGCCGGACTTGTAGCAATCTACGAAGAAATGTAATACAGATTGCAACGATCGTGGCGTGTTATGGCAACGAGATACACTCCTCGCCACTTTGTGGTGCGACTTTTTCAAGATCTCTCGCTTCTTCGATCTTGTTAGCGGCCTCGAATGGCATTCTCTTGCACGCTTGACTGCTTACGTGATATTCCGCTATTTTTGTGAAATTTTTCACTCAATGCGCAACGCGGCGCATATCATTTGCTTAGCAAAATATTTTTGTTGATTCTATAGCTTTGTTAATTATATAGCTGAGAGAGAAATTACCGTAATACGGATTCTCATTGTATTTCATATCGGATGCGAGACCGTTACATCGCAGAAAAGATGTAAGTTGCAGCGACAATTTCTTTCTGTTCGGAATTCCAAGAAGTTGGGTAAAAATTCACATATGGCGTCTAATGATCGAATCGAGGGCTGACGAGGCGTTTCGCAAACTGCAGCAAAAATGACGAGAATCGTTACTTAGCAGCGACGCCGATGACGATAATGATAATGACGACGGTTAGATCATATGAAAACATCGACAATGGAGCATTGCACAGTCGCTTTGCGTAACGCTTTCGTCCGCGATTTAACGGTAGTAGGCCAGCGATTTCCTCTGTCTGTCAACCGGCAAATGATCATGTAATGTAATTGCGCACTGATATTTCCCGCTTGGCGTAACACGAACGGTCGCGTAGCGTGTTTTACACATGCAATGACGCGTGCAAGAGAATCAATGGACGAAGGAGTTAAAGTTTAGATGATTTTTTTAGAAAGTAAAAAAATTAATTCCGTGAATTTTGATCCGAAGTATTTTGAGACTCTCGCTGCTTTCTTGCCGTTCGCTTCATCCTAATTTATCCTAATAGGATTAAGGAGCGTCTGGTGAGCGGCATTTAAAGGCCTCGTTGTAGGTGCACGGTCTGAGCGATTTCCATAAAAAGAATCTTACGGCGCGTGAGAGAGCAACCCGTAATGATGTAACGGACGCACCGGTAATGCACGCTCGACAAAAATTAAATCCAAGGTCGTTCCACTTTCCGCCCACTAGGAAACCACGAGGGCTCGCTCGTAATTTTTACGATCTTATCCGCGCGCGCGCTAGCGAACCGCGTTGAAGTGCGAGACGACGTATAAATTCGAAGTCCTCGCGCGAACGCGCAAGAAGAAGGCTATCACACGCGATATCGTCGTGTCGCTGAATCTCATGCGAGTGTTACCAAATATAGAAACTGCATTGGGCTCGTTTTATTTAAGTGCAATCGTATAAGGAATTCGCATGTAACATTTCAGTCACAGATCCTTTTTTATGAAAGTACATGCCATCTTGTTCGCAACAATGTATTTTTGTGGGTCAGAAATGCGATGTAAATTTCCGAACGCGAACGATTTGATCATCGACCACATCGCGGAGAGAATGAAAATATTCGATATTAAAAATAAAATTCAATTTTTGTTAAACGTTCACTCAAAAAAATATTTCGTTGATGTAGTTAGATTTCTAGATATCGCAACAAGAATGAATCGCTATTTTTCGTATCTGTGAAAACATTGTTTGTCACATATAGAATTTATAGCAGTAATGTTCTAGCAATAGCTTTTGAAAAATTTTAGGTACCATTGCTAAATGTTATTCATTGCATGATCTAACACGTGATTGATCTTATACAGATAGGCGCTTTAGAGAAACTTTCTTTTTAAAGTTCACAAATAATACAGATATATATTCTGTTTCTGTCATCTAAACTGATTAAGTAATTACATATGCAATATCACAACAGTTGCTAATCATTTATCTGTTTTAGTTAATTTTTTACACCTAGAAAATTTTAGCTATTATTGCAAGATCATTTTTTTGAGTGTTAAGTTCGATCTAAATTTAATTAAAGTGTCTGTCGTTAATACTAAAGAGAGAGACAGCGCAAGGAAACTTAAAATCATCAGGAAAACAGACTTCGATCATGGGCTTTCGATCTTGCCTTCCTCCCAAGATCGATCTACGCGGGTCTCGAGGCAGCTTCCGATCCCGGCCGCGATCCGATCGAATGCCATTTAATCTCAGCACGCTGCAATTGTCAGCTGCTCATGCTGCCCCGTCGTTGCTGTGCATACACTGACTCGGCTACTACGGACGATCAGTGCGCTCCTAGGAAGGAAGGTATCGAGGGCGGTGCGCGCGCTCCTGTGTGGGGCAACAGCTCCTCTCTGAGCTAGCACAACAATAGAACTCATATTGAATAAACCCACGTTTGTGCACGTAGGTCGGCCGCGCGGCGCGCGTATTCTGTTAAGCGCGGCGTACAGCGGACTCCGCGGGCGAGGTTCCGGCCGCTGATATTGCTGGCACTGACAGCGCGGCTCGGTGGTGGTGGTGGCACACGGTACCAGCGACGACTACGCGGCCGTGTGTGCGTGAGGCTCTTGGTGCCGGTGGGCCTCTTACACTCCACTCAGTTCGAGCCGGGCGTCAGTGACTTCGCGTCCGCCGGTCCGATTGGATCCTCTTTAAAAGGTGCGGGACGCGTTCTTCCGCAAGTCAGACGCAGCGAAGTCGTATACGCGCACGCATCATTGTCGGGTAAATTAGATCGATCGTTGTTCTTGGAAAACTAGTGTCGAATGTGTGGTGAAAATTAGAATATTTTATCTCGAGTACTTCCCTTCAAGCTGCACCTTTTTATATGCGATATATCTCACTTCAAGATATCTCCAGATAATCTTTAGATCGTTTATTATAAAATTAGACTCATCTCACTCGAATTTTTTGTATCAAAGAAATAAAAATTTATCTGTTGCGTAAATTGCGGAGTTGGACTCGCCGCTTGTCATCGTAGAAGACAGTCGCAATTGCTGCTTTTAATTAGATCCAGTTTTGCAATTAACGTCGTATGAATGTAAGCGTGTTTGTTGAAGGAGCGCATTGACTCCGCCGATTTATCGATGCGTTTCCGCAATCAGATTACAGGGATGCCGCGACGGAAACACTGACCGTATCTACCGCCTATCTGTTTCAGACCACCGTGATGCGGTGCGACCTCGGCCGACAAGGTGTCTGAAGGATATCTCTGCGGGGACCTCTCTACTCTCCTTCTTCTGCCCTCGGTCTTTCCTCGTGGGGATACGGTAGGTCCTGTTCGGAGGCTACCAGGATGCAGCTCGGACCCAGTTATCGAAGCGTCTGAAGGCACCCCGCGGCCTGCACGCCCGGAATAAAGCAATAAAAGCGCCCGCGCCACGAGATACATCTCGCGAGGTCCGCGTAAGAAAACGGCGAAAGAAAGCCGACTGCACCGGTAAATCATAAACGCCACGGGGATCGAACCGCGGGAGATAACTGCCTTCGCGTAAAGAGAAAGAGACGGAGAGAGCGAGCGAAATAGAGAGAGAGAGAGAGAGAGAGGAGCAGCGGCTCGGTTAGCCGAGCGGGATTCATCGTTTGATCGCGCATCCATCGGATTCATCCATCCTCGGACGCCTCGGCAACGCTCGAAAACGAAACAGCCCGGAAGAGGAGCTTCGTCGTCGTTTATCATTGGAAACAGGACGTCCGGAAGACGTCTCGGCCGCGTGCAGAGAGGCGGTCTTCATCGCCTGCCTGTTGCACGCCGCTGCAAACCATCGCGGATAAATCGTCGATAAATCCTGGTGGTTTTCCTCTCGCAGGAAGATACGTCGGCCCGCGTGTGCATAGACATTCTCTTTGCCCGCGAATCATCATCACCGATACGGCCGGTATAATCGTAATAGTTTTGCCGTTGAGACACGGTGTTTACCGTTGAGGATACTATCGATACATCGTGATTGTTTTGCGCGCGCGATATCATTTCCATCGGCCGGAAGGAGATGATTCGCCGCACGTGTGAAAAGTGTAACGCGGAAAGTAAGAAATCGGCTGCTGCGAGTCGGAGAAACGATCAAATCGGTTCGCTCGACATTTCGTCGACGGTGTTTCGTGATCCTCGATCTCACTGCGCACTGTTGCCCCGGGCAACGGTTTAGTGGCTAGTGAACGGAGGAGTTTTCACGTATTCAACAAAGCCGGGATCAACGAGTCGGCGCTGATATCCATTGTAAATCAATTTTACGCTATCCGAGGAAGAAAATTGCTCGAGGAAAAAGAAACTGGCTTTTACTCTTTATTTTTTATGTGCACCGTGCTCAATTACTTACTTTCGCAATTTGCGAGAGGATCGCGTGGCGCTTGCGGAGCGTCGAAAATAACCGCGTGCCGAGAGGGTTAATGTAGCTATCACCGTGCCGCGAGACGGAAAGTGACGGCCGCCGAGTGGCGGCGCAGTGACATAATTGAAGAAGAAAGTGCCAGCGCGTCCGGGCCCGTTATTAAGCGGTGATGAACGGGTGCCGAGAGAGGAGCAAAAATGCCCTTGAAAGCAAGCGTCGTGCTCGCTCCGCCACGACGAGGATTAAATGACGCCACGAAGTTTTCGGCGTGCCGACCCTGAAGAGGACTATCCCGCGCGAATCTCAAATCTCGCACTGTCGTTTTCCGATTCACGTCGGTGCGATCGGACTACTAATATACGTTCACGTCGATGTTTCCGGAAACTGTTGGCGAAGTGACACTATTCGGGGACGTGTGAAACCATGTCATCCAACGGCGAATTCTCCACGATGTCCAGCGAAGAGATGCCTTCGCTGCCGAAATCCCTGCCGAGCTCGAGGGAGGCGACCGCCGAAGGTTGCTCCGGCTCCGGCGGCGGATACATGCCGCTACGGGAGTTCCTCGATCGATTCTCGTTACCGAGAGTCGTCAGACTCGAAGGCACCGGCGGCAGACCGGTGCTCCTGTACAAGCAGCAACAACGATCGCTGAGGGTCACGGCGAGCCTGCTGATCCACCGGTATCGACACGACGTCAAAGTGGGACCGGAGATCGTCATCCCGGAGGGTTATCCAGGTAAGCTTTCTTCAATCGGGAACTCAGATCGGTCGTTTGACGGGCAAAACGATGATTGCGCCCGGTTGCGTCGAGGAAATTGCAACCAGCCGGCTCTTTGATGTTACCACTCTTTTCTCTCACGAGGAATTATATTCCGGAAAGTGGAGAATACCTCCGCAAAAACTTTGATCTTTTCACGACTGTACTTTGACTTGACAAACTATTAATATTCTATTGTAGAAAAAAATTATTATCGCTTAATTTACGATTAATTAAAGATGCGAAAAATAATATAAGCTGAGAGAAATGTTGAAAAAAGATAACAGAATTTAAAATCTTAATTTTTTTTTAGATGTTCTTCAAACGTCTCTCTTTTGCTCTGTAATGTTATTTAGATTAGTATCGACGCAGCTTGTCGTTTAATAGTCGCGATAGATGACAGCATGTAGCTCGTAAATTATGCTCGGCAGAGCGAACGGTAACGGTTGTGGAGATCATCCGGCTGGAATCATCGGAACAGGTTGTGGATTCAAGCCCGTGCGCGCGTTGCGTTGGCGCTCGCGAGACAGGCTTGAAGAAAAAAATGATAATGCTCTGACCTCGCGAGGGAGAAAGAGAAAGAATCTCTCGGTTATACGATTAATGTCCCAACTCGTTGTTTTTCGTCTCAATCATCGTAAACCACTTTGTGGCGAAGTAAATCGCGAAACTCGCCGCGCGGCGGAGACCGCCGCCCCTGCGTGCATGCTATCGTCCGCGACTTATATTAGTTTTCTGGCATTAGAAATGGAAATTACGAGGCAATAAAGCGCGGTAATGCGGACCTACTAGATCGGATGGGCGAAAGGGTGAAGTAGGGAATGCTTAGGCTTCTCGCGATGGTGGTTCACGACTGCTTGAAGAGAGGAGCCGTCAGAGCTAACGACGTCTCGTTCTTTTGCGCGCGCGAGGAGCCGTTCAATATATCGGGGTTTTCCTCTCCGCGCGTTTCTTCTTTCCCCTTTTTGCCGCGTCTTTTTTGTTTTATCACTCTTCTTCATCTTCGTCTCGTTCCCCAGCCACGGTGGAATTGGCATTGCGCACGACAGTGTCGCGTTCAACCGCCGCTAACTGCCTCTAATAAACGTACTTCGTATTTTAATGAAAATGTCATTAGTGAGACGACGTGCGGTCGTTATGAGTCAGACGCGTTAAGTGGCCGAGGCTGCGGGTGATCGAAATAGACAGCATTTAGCGCGCGTTCACCTCTTACCGTCTCGTCAATGAACGACGCGAGTCGATTACGTCGCGCAACCTACGATTACAAACGTCTGACGAATCCACACGGTTTGCGGGGGAACAGGTTCGCCGAATTGACGTCAGAGTTATCGAATTTTTCGTCACGCGTTTTTTTTCCGTCTATAATGACCCGGCCGATTCATGCGAGAAAAATGTCGCTTATTGCCCACGCGCGAATAAATTATTCCACGCGGAATCTTGATGATTCACGGGAGAGTTCGAGGTGTGTTGGCAAACAATTTTTAGTTTTCACTCGATTCCGACCTTGTTCACGGCTCGAATTGACTTGAGCAATTCACCGCTTGCTTCTTTCCTTTCGCTTTTGATAGCACGCGCTGAAGCATCGAGCTTGAACTTGAAAGTCTTCGCGTGGGATATCGGATGGTGAGAAATAGCGATGGGATCGTAATTTGAAGATTTTTGCGCACTTCTTGCACCGTAAAAAAGTTAGTGTAAGATTCTGATTATTATAATAGTCAGATAATTATTATAATAAGTAATTATGTAACCGACTATTATTTCCACGCGTATATACGTTCACAACACCTGCAGATAAAATTTATTCCTAATGTTTTAATGATGCGGATTGCATAAGTAACTATAGCTATAAAATAACTATAAATTTACTTGTACAATCTACTCCATTATAACGTTTAATTTTTAATTAATTTTATCCGCGAAGTGCAAATTTACATAGGCGTGTGGAAGTTCACATCCGTAATAGCTGGTCTCAGAATTATTCTCTATAATAGTCGTAATTTTAATTTTTTGAGAGTGCAGCTACCTAGGATCTACTTACCTCTTCAAGTGATTATACTTTTCAGAGGTTCATGGATGTTAAACAGATCGTTCATTATACCGAGCGACGAGGCGGAAGAAATTCCGAATCGAATAGAGTGCCCGCGCGAATACGAGCTTCGTGCCGCCCGCGTCATAAATTGGCACTTGAAGCGAGGTTGATCGTGGAGTCGCGCAGTACTAACAGTAAATTGAGCCGGGAACGTTATTCCACGCCTACGAATTCGCCACGAGTATCGCGACGTAATTCTCGCGGCGCGGAATCGTGCGCGGTGAGGGACAAAAAAGGGCCGGGGCTGTGTATGGGCGCGCGGAGCAGATGCGTCGGCGCGGCGATGAATTAGTTCCGCGTTTAAACGCTCGGGAGAGGAGCCGGTCCGCGCGCTTCTCGGCTATAAAGAAGCGTCGACGGACATTTACTATTGGCCGGCCGGTGCAAAAAGTAATAGACGTAGCATGCAGATCAAATAGCGGGGACTGCCCGCTCGCGCGACGAGCCGTTCGGGCGATCAGCCGGGACCACGCGGAGCGAATGTCGAGTCACGCGGCGTTATCGTTAACCCTGTGTTTTCTCTCACGTCGGCAGATACGAGAGCGCTTTCCTGATTAAAACTGTCTTCTTCCCCACCCGCGAAAACTGGCGGCGTTACTACTTTTCCTTATAGCCGGCGCGCACAGCGGCACCGTTTGTTCGTCGTTTTATGGACCATGGGACAGGGAAACGAGGAACTCTTTTCCGACGAGATCCCGCTAGAGATTGGAAATTCTTGGCGAAGCTGCGGGTTCTCCACCTCGTCTAAATTCCGACCGGTGCACTGTGATAAATATCGTTTCTTTACAAACCTTTCCTTTTCTCTTCTCTCTCTCTCTCTCGGCCGCTTTTCTCTCCGCGTCATTGTGGAATTCAACGGCACGGCAACGGCACGATTTCGAGCCGGACACTTTCGTCATCCGGCTTAATCCCATTTGTCCGGCGCAGCGCACGTGCGTGAAATGCACGATCGCCGGCTGCCGTTGAACGCAAGCCTGCCGTCCGTGCTGTTGCATGAAACCGCACTTCGACGGGGTGTGATATAATCCACCGCGTTCGCACAATTTCCGCTTGCGAAACGCGGACGTCGCGAAAATAATTCGTGACGTTAATAAGACTGCGATATTACTTCATCACATGTCTTTCTCTACGCGATAGATCTTTCATAATAAAATAATTTTAATGTGTCATTGGATTGGCATTTAAATCGTAGCTGTTACGAAGAAGTTATTTACATGACAAGTTAAATTTGCCAACGAACATTTGTAATCTAAAAATGAGAAATTGTTAACTTAACTTGCCAGACAGTTAGCATCAAACAAATTAAGCACCGCAAACACATCGTGATTCCATATGCGCCTCCTTCGCATCACTCGTAATTTTCCCGCGGCGGAGAGGCCGGGCAAAAAGGGTCTCGGCCCCGGCTTTCGTCGAGGGAGAATCATAAGTTGCAGCAAGATTTATTAGATGCATGCCCACTATACATTATTATAATCAACTTATCCCAACAAGGAAAAAAGCACGCAAATTTTCTCCGTATGCCAACACTTTGGCGTGGAATCGCACGATGTTCGTGTGGGACGAAATGAAGACATTCGAGAATGAATAAGAAACGCATTACGAAGCTGCGTGTAATATTCGAATCAAAATGCGTGGAGTAATCGTAATATGCCTTCGGCTTAACTCTATGATCAAATATCATTCGCGTTCGCAGTCGCACTTGTCTCAGGCAACCGAAGATTAATACAGCTGGCGCGAGTATTTTTCTTGCAAAAGTTGAGATAAATTTTTCTGGAATTACATCTTCATCGCGATAATCGCGCACATTTCGTCACGAACGCGTATCGCAACCAGCAACGTCGCGACATTCCTTCGGCTCCAGTTTCGCATCAACAAAGAAGATGCCACTGGACGCTGGGAGATGCCCTGACGGCGAATCGTCGCCGGCGAAACGGAATCTTGACGCGCAACTTGAACCTTCAACCGAGATAAAATTACTAGGGGAAGAGGCGCGCATCCGATTCCAGGGACTGATAGAGACGATGGACGATATCGCACAAATCACCGACCGTGGCTTAACTGCTATTCGTGTAAACCTCGACAAGCCGAGAAGAGAATAAATTTTTACAGGCGTTGATATTAATCTGTAAATATCTGAGTATTTTTCAATTTTACTAAGCATTCAATAACTAGTTAAATTTATTATTCCTTTTGATAGATTAAATTCAATCTTTGCAGAATATTATTTACGAATAAATAATTATATTATAAATTGTTATATAAAGCCTTTCTCTATTATTTAATTTCTTTTTAATATTTTAATTGCCTAAATAAATACCTATATGCGTACGTCATAGCAACAAGATACACAATAAACATAGGCATTTACGGGACGCGAAGCAAGGACGAATTATTTTTGCCATAAATCGCTATATCAATTTTTCACCGATACAAAAATTTGATGCGTTTCGATTATTAATAAATGCGGCGCGTTTGTGTGTATGCGTGTGTATGGCGCGTGTATTGTATTATGTAACTAACGGTACGATCAGCTGATCAGCTGAGCAGCAGTAGTAGTAGTACGTGGTCTATATAAATCATTGGCCTATATAGAATGTGTGGTTGCGTCGTCAGTCGGTAGTCAGGCTTTGACCTAAGTCAAGATTATTCGGATATAATTGTCAATCTTCTCGCCACGGCACGTTCAAACAGTGAAAACATTTGAGAGCCAGAATTGTTTCTGACAATCCCAGAACTTTCGACCCCATTATATTTTCAAGTAATTTATTTACGCGATATTATCGCTTAATTATAATAAATTCGGGATTGATATTACGAACTGCGTAAAGAACGATTACTTTCAGTGCATTATTACGTAAGAGATGAGATATCTTGCTCTCTTCTCCATTCCTTTCTTCTCGGCAAACTTTTTGCCCCTTTTTTACTACATCATTAACACGCATTCGACGAAGGATGATGATGCCAGTAGCCTCTAAAGTTTTATGGAGCGGTTTACGAGGTTTAATCGCGCACCCATTTATTTGGCACGGAGCGAAGGATCCACCTTTCGAGTCGGGCACTCGGAGCCCGTGGCGAATTGAGATCGTTTGTGATGCACCGTTGCAGGTTGCGAAAAAAAAAGGAACCAAACGATATTGCGCATCCGACGAAAGAAAGGCGGATGTAAAAAGTTAAATATGTCTGATCGATAAACAGGATATACATCATGCGAAACGATCAATCTATGTCGTTTAACATGTCGTTCAACATATTACATATTGAACGAAAAAATTTGTTAAATTATTTTTCGTAAAGACAAAGGGATAATATCTTCTCTGTTGTAAGTGTTTGCGAAATCTATGTGCCATTTCTCATCATAAGCAGCATGATAAAAAGTATTAACGCGCAAATTACATAATAAGCCATCACTCACGTAAGAATTATCAACGATAATCGCGCTTTCGCGCGATGGTGCGTATGGTGGCGGATCGGTGATTTCACGCGTCGCGTTTAGAGTCCGCGGTGCTCTTCTCGCACGCGGAAAGATTTCTCTCTTTCTCTACGGACGGAGAAGCGAAGAATGAATTGCGTGCAATATTGCGATCGTGATTACGGGCCGGAGGATCGTATAGATCGGCTTATCTGACGCGGCCGTATGGTTTTACTGCCAACTGCCCGACCCGGCGGAGATGTCTCGGCGCTCTCTCTCTCTCTCTCTCTCTCTCTCTATACTTTGATGTGTGTATACATGCGCATATGTATAGATATATATCGTTATTTGCTCGCACGGATCTCTCGGACGAGGTCTTACACGAGGCAAGAATGTTGAGCAGGCCAGACGCGCCCTCGGCGATGACCGGCCTCCCTCGGTTTTAAATAACGGTCATTACGCGCCGGGGTATAACTCTCTGGGGTATCGCGCGCCGACTCCGCGCGCGAAACCGACCCCACGACAAAGGCGCGGGAGACGCGAGGAAGGATTCAATCTGTCCGTTTGCGCGGGACCCGCGCGAGCCGGCCGTCTAATTTCTGCAAAACGATAGAATCTATAAAAGCGACCTACCGAGCCGGTAAACCGCGATCGACCCCTGGCCGATCTACCGTCGTGCTCTCTCCGCTCTCTGTTGCCGCTATCGGTATCATTACTAATACCGCCGACTGATACCGCTAATATCGATGCTACCACTTTCGCTCGTATCCCTCGGCTGCGATCGATTTATCACGACGATAAATTCTTCTTGCGTTTCCATCCCGATTTCCTTTTTGCTTCATCTTTTATTACCGCGGAGTTATTAAAGCGAATGGATATTATATAATAATATGTTTGGAGTTGTAATTTTTTTACAATTCTTGAAGGAAGATTAGAGTTGAAGAAGTTTGACTATTGGGGAATTAATTTTTAATAAAGATCCCATGGAGATACATCGCCGTCAACGGGAGTGTAGCTGGGAATTCTGCTGCACTGCAGCAGGTATCATCGATCGCAGAGTATACCGGGAACCGTATACTATTGTCACGGTTCGATTCACGTCCAGGTAATATTATATCCCGAATGATTGGTCTGGCGGCGTAACGTGAATTATGCACAATAAAGATTCCAGCCGCGAGATGTAGGCTGCAGTCTCCCTTACTTAATGCTCCTCCTAAACACATATATCGCGCACCTGGATACCACAATGTTTACCCGGAACGTCACGCCGACACCGGCGATCTCTGGCATCGAGATATCCCGTCGATATCGCTGTCGCTGAATCTCGCGTGCGATCTGCTATTCAATCACACTTCTATAATTACTCGCTAGAATCCGGTTCAGAGCGAATAAACAATCTTCTTGCGATCAACGTTTGCAACGACGTTGACAAATAATTTTGCAACGGTTCGATAAATTACAAATGAAAGAATTGTAATCTTGATCTTTTGTTTGTTCTGTGCGACTTTCAGATATGTATCGGAAAAATTAAACATTTACATCATAGATACCGAGCCACGTGCATCGATAGTGAAGCCTATTGTCCGTTTTCGTTGCGAGGAAACTTTCTTTTCATGCTGCGCGGGTGGCGCGAATTAGAATAAATTCTTGAAGTGTGTGGCAATATGTAGCGCGGCTCCTGCGAGCACACCTGGAGCGCGGACCGACGTCCGGTTCCTTGGGTTGCTGCAATCCCCGCCGAGTTCTTCGATTGTCATCAAGGCGGCGTGATGCAATGTTTGAAAGCAAGATTTTTCTGTTGTAATTAAAGATAATGCGAGAGGTTTGCGTATTCTTTAATAAAAAAACACAGAAACTACTTGAAGAGTGAAAGAGAGAAGAATAATAGTAATTATAAAGGTATTTAGTCCTCGACTTTTATTTTTTTTTTTGTTAATTGATTAATGATAGTATCTTAAAAATTGAAATTTATTTAAACACGAGCATTTTTAACGATTTGTAGAATGGAGAAAGAGATTCCAAGTAGTTCCATCGGTCACGTCGAGAAATGATGGACTAATTTATTAATTTAGGGTTCCAGGAAACATAACGTGCCTACGCATCGCATCTGTGTATCCTATAAGTACATGAATCTCCAAATATGTGTTACTTCCGCGTGCAAATCTGTGCCAAAAGCTCATTTATAACGCAAACAATAACATTAAATTCATAAAAGATTCGAGAAATTTTTAAATAAACGAAATAACATTAAAATAATATAATGATACAATTTCTTACTTGTAATATCTTAGCTATAACATTAATTTCATAGTTGAGAAATTTTTAAATAATAATAACATTAAAATGATGAAATGATAAAATCTGCTACATGCTAGAATTATTTTAGAGATGGTATTAAATTCGTAATTTTTTCGAGAAATTTTTAAATAAGCTTAAAATAATGAAATAATACAATCTAGTACATGCTTATAATACTTTAAGACAATATTAATCATGATCGAGGAATTTTTATATCAGAATAAGCATAATGATTCAGAATATTGTTACATTATTTATTAGTGATTCAAATATAGACGGAACATTTGCACAGATAATACATTTTAAACATAATTTGTTGAAATATTTAACATATGTTCGGCGATATTCGTACTGTTCCCTTCTCTTCGTATTTAAAAATTTTTATATGCTTTCTTCTATATGTTTACGAATATTACAAAATTTAATGTAACAATATTTATTTTTACAAGACATACATTTATTCGAATATTCGGTAATTTTGTCAAAGCCCTTAAGTGATGATTTTTAATAACATAGATAGTATGTTTGTTTCTTACGCATTTACCAATATATTCAAACTTTTACTTTTTACATGATTCTTTAAAATTATTTTGCAATTTAACATAAAAATATCATTTTTTTGTACAATATTATCGTGAAAAAAGTAGACGTCAGAACCCTTAGCAAATCACTAACGACTGTGTTAAGAAAGAACTGGAGGATTAAGTCATATAAAATATGCGAACTCTTTAAAAAGTATTTACACAAGCATTGTAAAAAAAACTAAAGGAATATACATTTCGTACATGGATTTTGAAAAATACTGTCTTCTTATGCACAAGAAAACAATACTTCTATGTCCAACTGCGAAATACGTAGTTCTCCAGTTCCTTCTTGACATGGTCGTGTTACATTCAAAAAAATGATCTTGCAATAATAGCTAAAATTTTCTAGGTGTAAAAAATTAACTAAAACAGATAAATGATTAGCAACTGTTGTGATATTGCATATGTAATTACTTAATCAGTTTAGATGACAGAAACAGAATATATATCTGTATTGTTTGTGAACTTTAAAAGAAAGTTTCTCTAAAGCGCCTATCTATATAAGATCAATCACGTGTTAGATCATGCAATGAATAACATTTAGCAATGGTACCTAAATTTTTTCAGAAGCTATTACTAGAACATTACTGCTATAAATTCTATATGTGACAAACAATGTTTTCACAGATACGAAAAATAGCGATACATTCTTGTTGCGATATCTAGAAATCTAACTACATCAGCGAAATATTTTTTTGAGTGTAGTGATTTGCTAAGAATTCTGACGTCTACTTTTTTCATAAAAATACTGTACATAAAAATAATATTTTTATGTTAAATTGCAAAATATATAATCAAACGGTTTCTTTTTCAAATATTGAGTGACGTAAACATTGTATCTGTTTTAAACTACAGAATGCGATTCGGCTAAATTTACATAAATATTTGTAACATGTATTTCGGACAAGTACTAATTATCTGAGTTTTGTTATTCTTATTATATATGTACTGAGTACGTTACTCATAGATTCACTATACAAAAAATTTGTTATATTCATGAAATCGGTTTAGTTTTTGTAAATGTATAAACATAGTACTTTATTTTAAAGCATAATTTAAAGAATATTATGTTTTAAAAGAATAATTATAATTTATAAGTTTATAAATTTATAGGATTCTGTTAAATTGTAAATATATAAATATATTATATTTAAAGTTATACATTTTATACAAACTTTATACATTTATAAACACACAACCGATATGCAACAAATAAGTCAAATTATACGCTAATGTCTTCATGTATTTCAAATCACTTAGATCAAAGTCAAGACTTTCGTTATCGCTGGTCATGAGATGCTACTTAAAAATGCCGCTACCATCATTTCCATTGTCGAATGTAGATAAATTTATATAAACATCTGTAATATATCTATATAAACATTTGTATATAAAAAACAAATATTAATTATTTGATTTTTTAATCACTTTTTGATTGAGTACACTACTGAAAGAATAAAATGTAATGATAAATATTACTAAACAGTAGTAATTAATAAAATATGATTAAAACTCACGATCGTTTTTCTTTTAACTTGCGTAGCTTGTCGACGGTCCAGCTTCATCGTGTGCTGTTCCTTGTTCCAAATCTTGTTGTTTTATTTGTTCTTCTTGTTCTATTGTTTTCCATTTCTCTTGATGTTCAAGTGACATGTGGTTTTTTAAAGTATCGAAGTCATAATCATAGTTTATATTTTGTCCACATATCGTACAATATGCATTACTTCTATCTTGTCTCGCGTATTTAAATACCCAATGTTGAGAATAGGGTTTTAGGTCTTGTGAACAACGATGATTAATCATGACATCTTGTTGATGACATATCACGCATTCTATACTTCGACTTATTTCCATGTCATATGTGTACCTCAAACATTTCCACTCATCTGAAAAATAGTGGTCCTGCTTTTTTTCCCATGTTTCTGAATGGAAAATATTATAATGTGACTCGTGCATATGTTTCTCAAACTGATCCTTCTTCAAATATACTTCTTTGAATTTGCAAACTGTACATTCTACTCGAAAATTCTCAACATCTATATAACATTTTTGCAACCAGCTGTTCTTTGCAGTTTGAAATGTCCAAATTTTGTCTCTGTTTTATTTTATCGTAATCTTCTGAATGTTTATCTGACATATGTGTTTCTAAATGAGTTATGTCGGCAATAATGTTCATACCTGCATCACAAATCGTACATTTCAGAAAATCTTCTTCTTCTCTTGCGTATTTAAAAGCCCAATCGTCAAAGTTACAGGGTATTAGTTTTTGTAGATTATGAGTTTTTGCGTGATTTTCCATTTGGTCATTTGACAGAGTGTCTTTACATATCATACATTCTATTTCGTCTATTGCTTCATTTTTCGTAAACCTAAAATATGACCAGATCTTGCCAAGTTTCGTGCCAATTTTTTCATTCTCTTCAATTCTGTAAATATTGTCATGCTCCTGTATGTGTGTTTTAAGCACAATAGCCGGGACACATACAAAGTTGCGTTTGCAAAATTGACATTCTGCTCGAAAATTCACAGACTTTACGTAACATTTGTTCAAAAAGTAGTTGTTTTCAATTAAATATGTCCACTCTTCTGTTAATTTTGTTTGCTCGTTTTCATGTGCCTTCATGTGCGCTTTCAAGCTTAAAGTGGTTAAATAAAAATTAAATTCTTCGTTTTTATTTGGACACAGCTTACATTTAGCAGAAAAATCTCCAACTTGATATAAGTATTTCCAAAACCAATCTCTTCTTTTGTCTATATATTGTCCTTTTTTTGCATGCTCATTTACGTGTTTGATTAATATCTCGTTTTGTGGAAATTCAGTTATGAGTATATTACATAAAATACATATTGTGGCGTTTTCTTCTGTTAGTATAAAATATTTCCACCCGAACTGGTTTCTGTTGGCCTCTTCATGATTATAAATATTTGAATGTGTTTTATTTACGTGATCCTTAAATTTAGTTAGACTGCTCACGTATGTACAGGGCTTTCGACAAGATCGATTTCGACACCGTGCATAAAAGTTTTTCTCTTTTGTAAAATATGCCGTTATCCACCCTTGCCATTTAGTTCGTTCTTCCCAACTCATTGTGATCTGATCTGTATGACTGAACGTATTTAACTGAACCCGATGCGAAGATTATTTCGTTGAAAAGTGTCTGATAGAAGAGATCGAGGAAAGAGACAGTTTTTTTGTTTGAATGTAAATATTGACAGCGTTCAAACCTATCTAACAGTTACCAAGAGAGGTGGTAGGATGTGATGCGAAATATGTCTAGTAAACGATTTCGGGGGAGCAAGAGCGCGATAGAGCGTGCGATAGAGTGTGAGAAGGCGGAAGGGGGCCGGGAGGGAGAGAGAGCGAGAACATTGATATGGTGGAGAGAGAAAGAGGGGCAGAGAGAAGCATTACAGTGCGTTCGTTACGCAGATAAATAATGTTTTGAGAAATAATGTACAAGAAATTAATGGAGATTATGGTTAGTATAATTAATACTATGATCTATATCATTGACTACATCGGTGAAATATGAGCATTTTTCTAATTTATTGATATATAAAATATAATATTGCGATTGAGATACATTTTCATTGCAAAAATATAAATACTTATATGCTTATTTCCTCATTTTATTTATATTTTAGATACATCATCGTTATCGTCATTTCTTTCATTCTCATAGCGCAATATACTCCAAATTATTGGTTTGATTTTCATATTTTAACATTTTCGTATTCTAACATGCTGTTGCTAATTACTTCATGATTACAGTTTTTAACGTCTTATGTTTAAACACTTCAGTATTTATATTAAAATTGGCAAATATTTAATATTTTAAATTTGCTACAATTTACTGTGTTTTCATTGTTTATGAGTAAAAAGCATTATTTCGTTACAGTAACATAGAAAATATTTAGATAAATAAAAAAGTAGATAACAAATATAAATTTTTATAATAAAATACATTGACCGCAAAAATCGACTGCAAAGTTCAATTACTTCCGATCACTGTTACAAAGCAAGAATAAATCGCTATAATTCTGCTTATTCAACTTGATAATTGAACGTGTCTTTTTTTTCAATTTTAGGAAGCGTAATGAATATTTGTGTAACGTAATTAAATAAAACATGTGTTTCTTATATATATATATATTTTTTTTATGTATATATATTATAAATGTTATAATTATTATCACATGCTTTATGTATCTGTGTGAATATATATTCAATCTCGAATTATATTTAAATAATTAAGTATCTGGACATTAAATTGAGACACGTGTGTTTCGTGAATAGGTCTACAACGTTTTCCGTTTGGTAACGGGCCGGCATTTATGGCGTTATACACCAGTACGCAGTACCTGGACCGTAAACACACACGTACTACCTTGATACGTTAAAAACGACGGGATGAAACGGATTTTCAGGAACATTTAGCTCGTTGCGTCATATGTAGAGCGACTGCCTGCGCCTATTGCTCTCGTACCTCTCATGTTTGTTCAGCAAAGCGTGTACATTCTTACGCAAAGCGTGGCGTCGGGAAGGAGTTAATGAACTCTATTAAAACTTTATGGTTGCACACCGCTTCAGGATACTGTCCCGTTACAGAAACTCCACGACTCTATGTGATACTTTTAAATCGTATAGAATACAGGAATTTTTAACTGAATACAGTTTTACTTAATTATTAATTGCATACAATAGATGCATATTTTATTAAGATACATATTTTATCGCGGAATAAATCAATTTTAGTCGAAGGCTACTAGCAAAAATGTTTATACGCAAGTTTTTATACTTTAAGTTTACTTTTCTAGAATAAAATAACATTCAGTTTCGTTGGCGTCTGAAAAATAGGTTGTCCGGATAAGGTTTCGAAGGGGGAAAACACGCGCTTACGTGAATCGATAAGCGCGTAATCATGCAATTACGCAAGACAATGAGACGCGGGGACGCGTTAGGAAACCGTTGGCGTGCGTCTGAATGCCTGAACTTTTCCGTAGATTTTTCGCAGCGGATGCGGCGATCTCTATAATTACGACCTGAACACGCTCGCTCTCTCGCAGACGCGTTTTACCTAAGTCGGATGCGCGCGCGGAAATGGAAAGTGAGGGAAGGCCGTGCGGCGCGTACACTTGTGTAACTGCGGCTCGCAACGCACGCCTTCGCAACATTTTCTTTTCCGGAATACACGCTCCCGTCTCGGTCAGAAGCCGTCCTTCTGTTGTGTACCGAGGAGCGACCGAGGAAACCCCATTAGTTTCCTCCGAGGCGTTCTCAAGACCGCGCGCCGAGAGAGCCAATATCATCCGTCTAATTGCGCGCGCGGGTTTCCAGGTCGTTGATCTAGAACAAACAAAAACCGGGAGCCCTGCCGGCCGCTAGATTATTCCATCAGTTAACCTCGAACAGAATTAATGCGTTTCAAGCTGGAAAAACTTTCCCAAGGGAAACCACCCTTCCTCTCGCACGTCTTTTTCATACAAGTTGCGATTGCTCGCTGTTGGATTTTGAACGGCTCGTTTTTCTTTTTGAGAGAACGAATGATTTATATAAAAGAAAAAACATATACGAGAAAAATGTTGTTTTATTGAAAATTGTATTTTGACACAAATTATTTTTTTGTATTACTTTATTATTATTTGTAATGTTTTTGATAAACTTTTAACTTACTCGAAGACATCATTTTGATTTCTCTGTCAATTGATCACTGAAGCAAATGAAAGTAGTTTCGATTTCGTTGGGATGATTCAGGATTTTCGATGGCATTAGAACGGTCGATGGCATTCCGGGACGGACGATCTGCGCGTCTTTAAGGGCCGGGATTCGAGGCGCAGCGTACATGGACTCGCATCGAGACAGCATTCTTAAATCAATTAGCAACGAGCAAAAGAACCCGCTGACCTTCGATCACTCCGACCGACCATTCGGCTACTGTGTCCCTACCGCAACCGCACGGCTGAAATCGTCTGTTCACAATTTGGCGGGCGTTTTTACGTAGCTGGTTGAAATCTCAGAAGCCGTAGTTCCTTACTTTCAGATAGATACGTTTTTTAACCCACCCCGAGGCCACTAGTCGCGTATATCTGCTGCTCCGGCAGACGCCGACCGGTCCTAATCGTTCTCGCTACGATTAACAAAACTTCAGCCTTGAGCTCTCGCCGGAGAAAAAGCGGACCGCAGATTCTTCTCTATATTTGAGTCCAACTATATCGTTATAGATATTTTTTTTTTTTATTATGGACATTTATGGATAGATAAAAAGCAGTTATGTGGATAATGGAGAAATAAATTCACAGCTTTGTGAAAGAAATTGTACTAAAAGCCGCAATTTAAAAAGTATTAAACTAAATTACTATAAAATTATCTTCACTATTTTTTGAACTTTATTATTAGTCAATCACAATCTCTCCACAGATATATTAATTTAATTTATTTATTTTATTCAGTAATATAAACTTTTTCAATCAATTTAATTTAAATATATTTTCACCGCACAATTTTCCGCATTGACATTTAATATTTTCTTCTTTCTTTCCAGGATGGTTTTCTGTGATATCTGGCAACAATACGACGGGCAGCGCGCGCGTCCATCGAAGGGTGGATTCTCTGGTGAAGACTGGGGTGCCCGTGTTTCTGCTAGCAACGCCTTTGAGAGGCTACACTCTGACGCACTCGAAAATGGGTAAGTTCGGGCAGAGAAGAAGCTGAAAGGTGCCGATCGCAATCGCGATTGCTCGCGAAATGTCAAGCGCCGCTACGTTCTTGACCCAGATGCATAAGAATATATCGCGCAACATAGAAAGTGATCCTCCTCTCCTTTTCTTTTCCTTTTCATCTCACTTGCTTCGCACGAAAACGAGAAGTGCACGTTAGTAAATATCGGCAGTAGTGTTTCTCTCACAAGGAAATATTGCTATTTTTCGCAATTTGAATTTTAAATTCAGTAAGATTCTAAAATAGCATGAAATTTATGCACGCGAAAGGTGCATAAATTAAAAATCTAAGGAAGATATTTCTGAGAAGTAAAATGATCTATTGAAATACTTGATTTTAGAAGAAAGAGTTGGATAAAAACTTCACATTTACATGCTTATGTGTAAAAATGTCTCTTTCTCATGCTCTGGAATCTTGACAATAATTGAGACAGGAAGTTCTGAATATTTTTTGGCCAGACAGCGGATAGACGTTGAAGTAAAGTAGCTAATAAAACAGGCCGACGACACGCATTAATGGGATGTAAACTGCCGTGTGATAAAACTGCGGCTTCGTTAAAACGGGAATATCGAGAAAAACACGAGTAACGGCAGCGCGGGCGATCCGGCCTCTGACCCTAAATGTTAGATATACATCGCGCGAGACTATCGGACATGACTCGTAAAGGACTTCTGCCGCCTTTTAACACCGTTTGGTACCGTTAAGGATGCCTTTAGGACATGACTGTTAGGAACGATTATGCTGGGCTTCCTTTGAGATTCGACGCGTTGTTAACGGGATCCGCGTGCAGCACAATTGAAGAAACGAAGACTTGCACGATCACGACGCCCTTTGTACTTTGACATAGCGAATAATATTGCGCGGGTGTAATTTGTGTCGATTTCATCTCTTTCAGAAAATGGAAATTTACGAGCGCACTACACGAAGACGACGATCAGAGCTGGTGAGATATTGCGGCTCGTGGCGGTCTTCCAGGATACGAGAAGATACAGCTCGGTGTCCTTCGGCATTTCCGGTGGATGCCCCGAAAAGGATCAATACGCGCAATGTATCGATCTTCACGGACGAGAGGTGTTCGTTTCGCTGTCGACCAGGGGTGAATTGTACGCGATCCATCAAAACGGTAGCGTCGACACCGGAAGTGACGCGGTGCTTTACAAAGTTCATCATCTCGCCAACAGACAATTGCCTCTCAAAGTGAGTTCTTTTTACGAAGAATTTATTCTTTTGATAATTGATTAAAAAATCAACAAATAATCTGATGTAAAAGGCGAAAAGAGCCGTTGCTAGGTGTTCGTGCCACAAAATTCAATTATATCATAAAAATTATAAAGTTACAAACGTTTCTGCTTATGTTAGGCCTTCTTCAGTGTCGTTACAAGTAAAATACATAATAAAACAGTGTCATATATTGTTGGTCGAAACATTAAGAATACAAATAAATAAAATAAAGTACGAAGAGCACTTTATTTATTTGTATTCTTAATGTTTCGACCAACAATGACACTGTTTTCTTGTTTGTAACTTTATAATTTTTATAATATAATTGAATTTTGTGGCACGAACACCTAGCAACGGCTCTTTTCGCCTTTTACACCAGATTATTTGTTGATTTTTTGGAGCCTCAATATTATTACTAAAATGATTAAAAAATGTTGAAAAGTATTTTATTATATTTTATTTCATATTTAGTTGCGTTCATTAATTTTAGATGATCCATAATTTGCAACACAATTGGAGATAAAATTCTTTTTTATGTATATAAGATTTAAAAAACCAGAATACACACATGCACCAAATGTATAATGATAAAGATAAGAAAGTTAGAGAGAATAGTATAAAATTATAATAAATTTTTATTTCGAATTCTGTTGCGAATTATAGATAAAAAAATGTTAAAGCGAATTAAAACAGTTGAACAAAAGATCCAAGCAACTTTTAGTTAATTTCTGTAGTTAACGTTCACTGTCTCTTTCTTGCTGCTCGCGTATGATGCTTTGCTTCGAAATGAACGAACCTCGAGTTTATCCGTTTCTGAAAAGCCTCAGCTACGTCCGTTTAGTGACTCGTTGCTAATGATGCGAGTGATAAGCAGGAAGCAGCACCAACTACAAAAATCGGCTTAAAACTGCTCCTGAAAATACATTTCTCTTACATAACATTAAAATTGAATTTTTCTTTTTAGGTACGATTAATAGCAGGACCGTTGCCCGTGCCCTTGCCAAAAGAGTACGGCGGTCTAATGCAGCTGGAAACGTCGACACGAGGTCCGATTGTTTTGGGCTGCATCGTTCCGGAGAGACCAGTGCATAATCCGGAAATGCTGGAATTAGTTGTGTCCGGAAATGGAGCGCCGCGGGTTCGAAGAGCCCGATTGGGCTATCCTTCCGAAGCGAGATTGTTAGCTTCTCCGAAAATGCAACGATTACTATCAGCCTGCAGGTAGAGCCATTGCTTGTATTTAAAGCAAAATTAATTTTCCGCGTTTCACAATAGAATTTAGACTTAGCTTTCTAATAGAGCTCTGTATCATTCGAGTTAATTAATGAATTGTCTTCTAAATTATGTAATAATGTTATCTAAATTCTGTACTTACTTTTATTGTTTAAACTCATCTAGAAATTCCATGTAAGATTTGATGAAAAATATCAACTGTTAGCTTATTATATTAGAATCGATATTCTGCGTGATTAAACTGGTTCTTCTACTTCAGCCGAGCGGTCGGAGATCGCGCAACGGAACCACGAGTGGCTCCCGTAAAGCTGCATCCGCCGATCGGGGAGAGCCTGAAAGAGATGCATTTAAAGAAGATCAAGCCGAAGCCGGAGACCAAGCCGATCCTGCAGAGCTTGAAAGACGGGTTGGATCACCTGAAACGGAATACCGCGAAGGAACGGAATCAACAGACGAAACAAAACACTGGGAACGGTATTTTAGAGAGAATTTCGAAACTCGCTCAGGGCAACAGAAATCGCAATCCCGCGAAAAAGTCGGCCTCGTTCACGTTCGCGGTAAGGCCGGAGATAGCCATGAAATCTCAGGAGCGTTATTCCAGTCTGGAACCGGAAACTACCTCTCATCAAACTCGCCAGAATCAAAATGCCAAGCAACCGGTACAAAGATCCGTGTCTACCAGTATGCTGGAAATACCGGCAAACGTCGAGCTACAGCCCAATTATTCACGTGTGAGGGACAGCCTGACGCCGCTGCCGTCACCTCCGAAGCTAATCAGGACCAACAACAAAACTGAGGAGATCTACGCAGAAATTTGCGACACCGCGACAGCGAATCCGGTGCAAAAGTGCCCGGGAAGCCACGTGATGGCGCGGATCAGAATTGTCGTGCAGGGCAACGACTCGTCTTTAGGAACACATAATGTGATCGCTAATGAAAGATACGCGAACTCGATGGCGACAAGTGAACAGATTGACTCGATCATTAGTACGGAAGACGAAGTAATCTACAATACCGTGTTTTGAAATTATCAAATTAACGTACAAACCGCGTTTATGAATATATGATGCTCATATATAAACAGAAAAGGAATTTAATTGTAGCTCGAAATAGCGATTGTGAAATTCTTAAAGTGTAGACAAACCGGCTGTGTTCAACAATCGACTTTCCATTCGCTGTTTCGAAGTGTATTATATTATATAAGAACGTATTAAGAAAAAACATGTACAAGTGCCTTTGTAGAAAAATACAAAAATCATCTGTACATACCTCTGCCATACGTTAATGTACTAACAAGTTGCGATAAGGAAACGTATGCACGTTAGAAATATATATCTTAAAACGAATCGCTCAAATTAATTACGAATGTATGTGTAACTTGCGTCAAAATAAAACTTATCTAATTTTTGTTAAATCCGACTCATGTTCCGACTTAATATGAAAACTTAACAGATGATAAAAACAGGTATAAAAAAAGTATACAACGATATGGTTTGATTTAAAAAAATATGTATATTATGCCTTTTTAAACTTTTTACAGTTTTCCGATTTTTGTGGCTTTTGTCTTTTTTTAGATGCGACATTACTTTTTTTACTTTTATCGGAATCATCTATTACTTTTTTCATTACTTCGATAGCTTTCTCTGCATTCTGAGCTAAATCTACGTTTACATTAGTATCAAGATATTTTGTTGAAAATCCTTTCGGGAATACTGGCTTTGTTAACAGAGATTTCAATTGATGTTTCTTCACTTTTAATTGTCGTTTCAGTGCTGCTGTTTCTTCCGATTCCGTTGATGACTCACTATCAAATAAAAAGCAAATATAATCTATGTTGCAAAATTATATATAACAAAAAATACAGTCAAATAATTTATTTTTCTTACTTATCGTCATCATCGTCCAAAATGATGTCCATTTCTTCTTTTGCTTTTTGTAACCAACTTTTCTGAGTATTTTCCCGGCGACATCTCAATTCTAATTTATCAATTTCACGAGCAATATTGACTCTTTCTTTTATGGCAATTAATAAATTGTCTATCACAGGAAATATGGGCAAATCTTGTGCTAAAATAGATTATAACATTATTACATTTCCAATTCCTAAGAAGTGAATATCAATATTTTTAGCATTAACATTACTGCGGCCAAGGGTTTTGCATAATTTGCTGTAGTTCTGTTTTTCAGAAGGTTCCATCATTAGAACTGTGATGCCTTCCTTCTGTGCTCTTGCCGTTCTACCGCTTCTATGTACGTAATTCTGCAAAATCATTGTTATATCAATTTCGTATTTTTTATTTAGTATTTTAACATCGCATTTGCATTAACAGCTTAAACATCTACCTCGGATGTCCTGGGAACCTGATAGTGTATTACATGCTCTATGTTAGGTATATCTAAACCTCTCGCAGCTACATCAGTGGCTATCAACAGTCCATTCTCATCAGCTTGAAATCTAAAATCCATGTAATTAGTACATACAAACTTAATCAGTAATGTTGATTAAAAAAATACTTTCCAAGATTTTCAAAATTTACCTTTCCAGATTTTTTAAGCGTTGCCGTTGCTGCATATTGGCGTGCAGAGGTAAGGGTTTACATTCGAGTATGCTGAAGAGAGTAGCCAATCTTTTTACACAGCCAATACTGTTACAAAATATTAACGTCCTTCCATTATGCTTTGTCAAAAAATAGTAAAGGTAATAATCTTTGTGGTCGATTGTGCATGCTATTCGACATTCTGTCAAATTATCGGCTGTACCTGATTAATATATAATAAATATTTGTAATTAAATTAAAATTTTGATTAATATATAATAAATATTTGTCGATGATGGATAACTAAGATGCGTATGTACCTGATTCTTTCGTAAGATCAACGATTTTGGGTTTTTTAATTTTTAACAGTGATATAATCTTTTGCAGTTTCTGGTCGGAGGTGAGTTTGTTTATCCTGCTCCTGGCATATCGTCTCTTCTTTTTCTCAAGATACTCTGGGAGATCATGTACCATAGTCAAAGTAGCGGAAAAAACAAACGTTTGCCGTTTCTCCCGCTTCGCTGGATTTGCATTTATCTTCTCCAAAAGATCATGTAATTCTTGAAAATGACCTTTCTCTAGCATCCTGTCTGTCTCATCAATGGCTAAATATCTAAATCACATAACAACAAATCACATACATTTTTTGTAATAATTAGAACATAAAAATTAATAAAATGTACATTTTAACATTAATATACATTTTTATGTTTTAAAATCTTATATCATTTGGCAGACCTAGAAATTTACTACGATGCATTCAAATCTTATATTTTAAACAAAGAAATGATCTAGAATTCTGAAATATAAAATTTCAATGCATTGTAGTAAAATTCTAAAGCTACAAAATGACATGATATAAGATTCTAAGGTACAAAAATGAATAAAATATACATTAATGTTAAAAAATAAATGTTAAAATAGGTTAGAACTTTAGAATGTACATTTTCTTCACTGCAATGCATCAAAATCTTATATTTTAATGAAAAAAATAGTCTAGAATGTTAAAATGTATATAATTTCCATTTCTTTCTTTAAAATATAAGATTTTAATGCATTGCAGTAAAGTTCTAAGCCTACCAAATGACATGCTATAAGATTCTATACGATTCCCACTAGGTTAATAATTACCTAATAGAATCTATTTGACTTAAGTGAGAGTTCCCTTTTTCAACCAATTCCCAAAGTCTTCCAGGTGTAGCAATAACAATTTCAGGACCTTTGTTTAATATTCTTTCTTGTTTTACCGCTGCCATACCTCCAAGAACAATAGCTATCTGTAATAATGTTACATTAATTAGAATTATACGTAATATAATTATATACAACAAAAAAATGTTGCTGTACCTTAATATCCGTATATTTTGCTGCTTGAGTAAGATGATTCTTTATCTGAATTGCTAATTCACGAGTTGGTGTAAGAATTAATGCATACAGAGGCTTGATTGGAATATCTTGACACTCATCAAATTTATACCACCTATAGCTTTCACACAATTCTCAGATTTTGATAAGTTTTCATCTTCTGAATCAGATTCTGAAGTATCAGTATCTGTAATATAAATTGAAAGAATTTAGCACATTAACTTAATGACTTATATGAAAAAAAAAAATTAAATTCGAGAAAAAATTGCTATGTTACCTTTAGCTTCTACTTCGTCCTTTTGAATATTATGTGTTGCAGATTTCTTAGACACTGCTGTTTCTAATTGTTGGTTCTTTAAATCTAAGATACCTTTTATTATTGGAATACCAAAAGCCAATGTTTTGCCACTACCAGTTTCAGCAGCACCTAATATATCTCTGCGGCCCAATATAGCAGCTGGCAATGTCTGAGCTTGTATTGCAGTAGGAGAATGAAAATTCTGATCAGCTAAAGCTTTCATCACAACAGTAGGAACACCCATAGAAATCCATACTTTAACATTAATATTTGCCAAATTTTCACTACTGTCTGTGTCATGATACAAATCATTTTCACCATCAGATTTAATTTGTTCTGTGGTTCCAGACTCTTTAGATTTTGCCGTCTTCTTATTCTTTTTCTTTGTTGATTTTGTTTCAGCTTTTTTAATCTTTAATTTCTTTGCAGAAACCTCAGTAGCATCGTCATCCTCAGCTTCTTCCTTTAAGTGTTTCCGCTTTGAAGCTGACTACAATTAAATGTAATGTTTTAATAAAAATTAACAAAATTTAAAGTAAGAGTATCAAATAAAGAAACTACTTACTTTCTTTTCTTCAGTAGATTTTACTTCTATGATAACAAGTTTGCCTTTTTTGCTGCTCTTTTCCAAATTATATTCAGTCAACTCTTCTATTCCAATTAATCCTGTACTGTTGGACAATAATGCACCTTCCAATGGTACAGGTTTCCATCCACTATCATTAACTTTTTTAGTTTTTGTCATTTTTATAAACTATTTAATTGGTATGCACTGCTATATATATTTGAGACAGGATACCGCACTTCATGATAGACAATTATTTGCAAGTGATTCTAAATCACATGCACGTGGCTAAATAACCTTAATGAATTTCAATTAGCCACGTGGTTACATAGAAATATTTCCTTATAGCTATTTGATAAATCAACTATACATTGATAACTCAAGCAATTAAGTGACAAAATTTACAAAATATCAGATCTGTGTGTGCGATTGAATAAAAAACTATCTCTCGAACAAATTTCTTCCAGACAATTTTCCAAACTGAAAGAACTTATGCCATCTAGTGGGAACGATCAATCTTATTCACTGCAGCTGTGCTACAGTTACTGCTAGATGGCATATGCTATTGTTGGTTGCCATATTTGGTCTAATGTCCAGACTCTGACTAGAGACGGTCATATCGATTGTGTGTGTGGGGCGGCCGGCATGGGTGAAGGCCGTCGAATACCACATAATTCTCGTAACGGCTCTTCGCGAGGCTCAAAGCTGTCTGGATAGATCGAACAATGAACACAATCGGGAGATGATGCCGGGCACATCTCGCCAGCTGGAAACATCTAACGGTAGTAAGAAATCGACTTGACTTTGTATATTTTGTCGCTTCAAAATTTGACTTCGGGCGATTCAACCCTCCGCTTTAAAGATAATGTTACAGATTATCAACTTCAATTAGTAAATTGTGAGATTTAATCGTCAATTAGATGTCCAAGAATTGTTTCATATTTTTACAAGTACAAGTTTATTACTATCTACATATGCTAATTTTTGCATATATTGTTTTAACATCATGTTATTGTGCCAATATAGAATATCATCCAAGGCTTTATCTTTATACATTTTCTTTTTTAATTTAAATATTATTTTCAAAAATATATAGCTTATTGTATACTGGATTAATATTAATATATTTGTATATATTCATTATTCATATCTTAATATTTATTTTCAAAGATATAAATTGTATTAATAATGAAATGTTAATTAATTTATTTTACCATATTAATTAATTAATTGTTAATTTTAAAATTACACAATAGTATTATCTTTGTTCAGATTCTGAGTGGGAGAATTTAATGGAGGTCCATCATGAGCCGATTGAAAAAAACTATCAACTCCTTGAAGAAATTGGCAAGTGAGTGTTATTATTCATCATAATTGACTCTTTATTTAAAGAGCATTCAATATGATTTAATGATGTTTAATAATAATCACATAAATATATGAAACGTAGGGGTCAATTTGCTATTGTACGAAAATGCAAGGAAATAAAAACTGGTTCACTGTATGCTGCAAAAATAATGAGAAAGAGGCGGGTTGCCAGAGGTGTGGCTGCTGCAGATATAGGTAATATTTTTATGATATACTGTGTATGTAATATTTTTATTCTTAGAACACATTGTGTAATAGAATAATTTTATTTTATTCAGCAAGAGAAGCTGGTCTTTTGGCTCGATTAAGGCACCCTAATATTGTTTCTTTGTACAAAGTAATAGACACTGGAACAACAGTAGTATTGCTACTGGAATTGATTACTGGAGGGGAATTATTTCACTGGACTCCATCTGGTGAAGTAGAAGCTGCTCATGTGGTAAATATATTGTGATCCATAAGTATATAATTTCTGTTGCTTAATATTTGTATATTTTTTTATAGGTGCGTCAAGTTTTAATGGCACTCAGTCATTTACACTCCCATCAAGTTGCTCATCTGGATATTAAACCTGAGAATATTCTACTGTCAACACCACCACCGATGCCTAACATTAAATTGATAGGTAATGTTTTAATTTATCATCAATAAATGTTAAATTAAAATTAGCAATATTGATAATACTATTGTTCTATCAGATTTGGGTCTGTCGCATCGACTGGTACCTGGTTCAGAACATAGAGCATTATTTGGTACACCAGAGTTTGTAGCGCCAGAAATTGTGAATTATGAGCCACTTTGTCTAGGAACTGATCTTTGGGCCGTTGGTGTGTTGACATATATTCTGTTGAGTGGAGCTTCGCCATTTTTGGGCGAGGACAAGCAAGAGACATATGCAAACGTTGCCGCTTGCCAGTACCAATTTGACAATGAATATTTCAATAATGTGTCCGAGATTGCCAAAGACTTTATACGATCCTTGTTGATCAAGGATCCGAAGTAAGTCGCAAAAAATTATAAATTCATAAATTGATTGTCAAGAAATGGAGAGAAAACGCTGTATCTCCTTGTTTTAGGGAGAGAGGAAATGCTGAATCGTGCCTTAAACATCCTTGGATTCTCACGGTGTGTTCCTGAAAGCAACGACTCGCATTGTCCATTAACACTGCGGTTACATTTTATTTTAAATGTGTTGTATTGATTTTGTGCCTTTTCTTTTGACCAATTTCTATCTCGATATGACGTTAATTTGTTGTATAGTTATATCGTATATTATATATACGAAATTATTTTTTATATACAATATACAGTGCTAAGTCAACAGTATACACATTTTTCTTTATTATATATGCGTATACCTTGGTTATTGGAAAATATTATTCTTTGTGCATGCGACAAAAAAAAGTTATTCTATAATACCAGAAAGAGATACGTCAGCTGTATCATATCGACAAAAATTTTATTCTATTTGTGCACACAGGAATCTGAAGCTCCTCAGGGTCTCGGCGGAGCGATGATTAGTGCTGTGAAACGAGGCTGTGTTGAGGCTGTCTCTCAGTTGCTGTTGCAGGGTGCTCCATTGAACGTGAAAGACTCTGTAAGACATCTTTTATTCATTTTGCCAATATTGCATGCGAAATAATATTTGGCGGATAAAATAGTAACATATGTTACTGTTTAGAAAGAAGATACTCTTTTGCATATCGCCTGCGAGGCCGGTGACGAGGGAATGACGACTCTCCTAATAGAAAGCGGGATTGATCTGGACACACCGAACAAACAAGGTCTCACGGCATTACACGTGGCTGCTCGATACGGGCATATTAATCTGGTCAGACATTTGTGCCTTGCTGGTTGCGACGTCGACAAAACGAATCGGGGGATTCGAGCGGACGTCACTGCGATTAAGTACGGATATCCGGATATTGCAAATTTATTAGATAAATTGCGAAACGTAAGTTTTTCTACGACATATAATACCTTTCACATTTTGGAGACGGGAGTCAAATTACCGTTTAATCCATTTTCAGCCGAATCAGCGCGAAAATTACATACGTCAGCTGCAACCGACACACAGACCAATAGACAGGCTACACATAAGACTGCTCGGACATTGCGCCTCCGGAAAATCATCATTAATTAGTTCTTTAAAATCTGGAATATTTAGTTTTGGATTCTTTCGAAGATCGAGAAGTCAGAATTATAGTGCGAAGGTATGCCTCGCAGCATGAGAAGCATGATACATAAGATTGAAACAGAAATCCATGTGATTTTAATAATAAAAATTATTAATGTTTAGAGAGAACCAAGTATCGAACTCGACGTGACGAGTAAGCACGGTTCTCTCAGTTTTGAGTACAGCGATAACGAGTACGAAGGTACTCAAGGAGTAGAATGGAGTCGCGGTAATGTAGGTGAGCGAATCAAATTTAAATATGTAATTTAATACGGATTGGAGTTATGGTAATGTATAAGTATCAATTAAATGCTTTTGTACAATATATTGTTAGCTATTTTATTTAAATATGTAACGCTTAACTGCATTTCTATGAATATATTTGATCAACTAGGTGGCGAGTGCGTCTTTTGGGAGTTGTGCGGACGCGAAGAGTTTTTGGCGTCTTATCACTATGTACTTACGTTCCAGCAACCAGCAGTGCATCTTATTACAGTCAGCTTGAGAGAGCCGCTGACCGTTCAACTTCAGCAGATAAAATTCTGGCTGCAATTTATTCTGGACCGTATCAATCCGAGTAACGTTGGTAAGGGATTCATATAATTCATATAATTTTGTCAAAGATAAATTATGCAATTCTGATGTTTGCAATTGTCTCTTTTATTAAAGGATTTGGTGGCAAGTGTAATGACGTGAAAGTAATTTTAGTCGGCACTTATGCGCCGGAGCCCTTAGCCCCGAATTCTAACGGCGGCAATCTACTTGCACCACTTTTGCCATTTTTGAAAGACTTTACGTCAATTTTGGGAGAGGAACCTCAAATGGTAGCACTGGACGCAACTAATCCTTCTAGTCCTGGCCTCAAACTTCTCAGATCTTACTTAAATAATGCAAGAATGGAATTCCTCGAGGTGAAGCGATTATATTTTCTATCCAGTATAAATACTTATCATATTTCATCTAATTAGAAGAGATTATCTTTTTCATCGATTCATTTTTAATCAACATTGGCGAACAATCTCGGATTTAACGAATCCTTTTTTTTTTTCGATGAGAACTTGTAATTTCTTCTAATTTTCAAATTATTTTCATCATCGGATATTATACATTCTTCAATCCATTTCAAAATATATCAGTAAATGCATGATATCAATATGCTTGATACTAAATATGCGAGCAGAACCGTTTGATTCTGCAGCCTTTTAATACCAACAACTGTGAACTAACGCAATCTCGTGTAAATAATCACGTTTTCGCAGGAATCATACTAACTTGTACAGCATGTAATAAATGTGCGCATTAATTCTTCGTGAAACGGTTCTGGTCAATGATGAACTATTACATTACGCTGTTGTCTGTATAATTCATTCATCAATCTTGAAACTTGCAATGTCAATATGCCGTGGAATCAAGCATTGATTCTCAGCGCAGACAATGCAATGATTTCTACTCACTTATACGATTTTCCTCTCGTCATCCATGATGCATGGTTGATTTGATATATGTACAAATATAATTGAAAGCATTGAGAGTACCTTGCGTGTCTCATAAATTTCAAGGATATTCGATCATTTGCGATGTTTGATTGATTGAGCGCACCTTTTTCGATAAACGTCCGATATCATGTCATATATATATATATCACACCGAATCGAATTTATTAAGAACATATGTTTTAGTTGCTGATTTTTTGGCCATTAATGTTTATTAACATCAGCCTTAATGCATGCAATGCATGATGTAGGATGGACCGGAAGTTGCAGAAAGTATTCTCCGACGTGACGCGCCGCGTGCTGCGGCTACGTACGTGCCCCTGGCGAATCTTGATAAACAGGTCGAAATACTTCTCAATTCCTTTAAATAATTGAGTGATGTGTATAAACTGAAACTGTACTTTGGTTCAATAGTTGCACTAATGCTTTCTCCCATGTATACATACATGCACACTATTATCAAACTTAAAGAAATTTAAAAAGAGACTCTTTCTCTTTCTCTTGTATATATATATATATATATTTTCTGCATCAATGTGATACCCGAATAGCGCACAATTCTGTTACTATGGATGTTAATCATATATTATAGAGCGCCTTAGTGTGGACCGGTCTCGCCGAAGCATGGAGATCGTACGTGCAGTCGCTGGAAGTTCCTCCGCTAATGCTCACTCAGGAGGAATTTTTGAATGAGGTTCGAAAGATCAATCCTCTAGTTTGCTTGGAACATTGCAGGCATCTAGGATTACAATTGCAGGTTCGCAATTTCGATATTATTAATTTGTTGAACACGATTCGCAAAATGCTTTTCGACATTAAGTGTATCAATTTGCAGAATTTGGGAGAGTGCATTCTTCTGCCTGGAAACCTAATAGTACTAAGTCCCGAATGGTTCTGGCAAGACGTACTAAACTGGCAATTGAGCCCCGATCAGAGAGGACGACTGGGCGGTCGAACTACTGGTGTTTACACCATAGAAGATTTTCAGGCGCGATGCCCTTGTCCCGCCGCCCAAGCTCTACAAGCTCTACAGGCGGTCAATTTGTGTGTTCCGGTATGTTCTGAGAAATCTG